GGCCCCAAAGTACCTACCATATAGGTCATATAAGTACTTAGACCCTTTGGGTCTTCGGGCTTTCTGGCCTGACCTTAGGATCCAGGGTGCCAACTCTCCAAGCCCGAATGCAAAAAGGGTGGAAGTCGGCGGGTCCCAAGTGGGCCGACGGAGCGGGTGCCAAGAGCTGAAACCGAAATTTTGCTGCATGAAGCGCAGCATAGGTCAAGCACCAGCCGGACTTCCAGTTCCCAGACGATGACCACAACCTCAGTCACGACGCAAACGTTCACCAGGCGCGTGCTGCTTCAGGTTGCAGTCATCCTTTGGATATCGCTGAATACCTTGGAGTTCTCGTAGTCTTAGCAGTGCCGCTTAAAGCAGTACTAGTCTCGCACATACTGGACGAGATATTGCAGTAGGACTCCTAGTTTCCGTGCGGACTACATCCAGCTCAGAGTTCAAGGGTGGTTCTGTCATGGTTGAGTCTTCGGGATGGTGAGAGTTGCGCTGTCCATGGAGGAAGTGTTGTTACAGCTCTGGGAAGTGCTCTCGGCAACGAGTTGGGCCAGCCTTGTGCATGGGACATATTGTGATCAAAGGCATCTGACCCCACTCCGGGCCGAGGAATGCACCCCCTGTGATGATTATGAGCGAGCCGGAGCCTGTGCAGACGATCGAGACAACGCTGGTGGCCACTTCCAAGCAACTTTCGTCTAACATTCCACGCCGTGAATGTTTAAACTGCGGAGATGCCGCCAACTCCCTGTCTCGAGGTTGATGTGCCTACATATCTATGCATAAGTACTATTACTATAACATACTAATTCTCATGGTTATTGTACTTTCGTTCTTTTGTGGGCTCTTCAGAGAAATCCCCCGCTCACGAACTGCTCTTGTCGCGATATCGGCCTTCGAGATTGATGCGAAAGCTTCCATGCAGCTGTCTTCTTGGTTGGGAGTATCAGCAACCCGAGGCTCTGCTTGTTACGAGCGCGGACATTGTACGGCCAAGCACTACACATGAGGATACGCATGTTGTGCAGGTATGGGTATGCCGTCCTTGCCACCCCCCTAAGCCCCTAAGCTGCGCAGTAGCAGCGGTACTGCCCTTCTGTGGGACTGCGAGAGTTCATGTTGATGAGGAGCCCATACTACCGTCGTCTTCCCCATCAGAAGCCCGAACCCGAAAGCCCGACTAGCACCCGACACCCAGAGCCACAGAGCCCGAAAGACGGTTGAGGTGGTGGGAACGAACACCACGTCGCCTGACTTCGAGTCGACGATCGTGTCTTCCATCTCAGCAATCTTGGGCGTAGACCCTCGACGTGGCGAGGCCGCAACTGTCGTAGTGGCAGTCGTAGCCGCAGTTCCAGTCGTAGTAGCAGGAGTAGCAGCAGTAGTAGTAGTAGTAGTAGCAGTAGTAGTAGAGTAGTAGTAGTGGCAGCAGCAGGAGGAGTACATCTTAGATGATTTGGACGCATGCGACTCGTTAACAGCCACCTGTGATGGCCAACCTAGTTCGACAACAACTCTGGGTCAGGGTGAAGACAGTGTGGAGCGTAGGGGGTTCACACGGGTGGGTTTAGATATGCTTGCTTGATGCTTGCTTTCTTCCCTTGAAAGGGAGCCTCAGTTTGATCGATTTGGGTCGTCTTTCGGCTGGAAGAGGGGGACCTGCCGTCGTGCGGTGCAGGTGTATAGACAGTGATGGAGAACCAAGCTCTTTCAGAAATACCCGTTTGTGCAGCACACAAGCGGAGAATCGGCAGTTTACGTCGGCACTTCCTTCCAACGAAGCAAACAGCTATCGTGACTATCGGTAGTGGTAGTGGTCATCCCGACAAGTGTACACATCGTACCGTTAACCCGAATCAGCCTAAAACCCCATTTTTTTTACAAGATGACCTGACATCTGGCTGTGTCCGAGTGAGCGTCAGAAACCCGAAAGCTGTTGTGCCGACGTTGGAGCTCAGGCGTTGCTGTCACAGGCGCGGTATCGGGAGCTAAGGCACAGCAGGTCCTGCTGACGTAAACGGCTTGATCTTGAGGAAGTCAGCGAATTCTTACGGCTGGGAGTTGGGGGTGTTTGTATTTTGTCCTTTGGAGTACTTTTTGGAGTACTTGAAGTTTCGTCAAGAGTCGTCAGAAACCTGGGCATAGCTGGGATCTGACGAGGCCTGCCCCCGCCCCCACCCACCACACACAACAGATCGTCCCAGCCCTAGCTTAGGCCGGGAAGCTTTAGCCAAAAATTGGGTTCAACCTCGGTAGCCAAACCCAGTGGAAACACGAGTATGCCACTGACTACAAGCTACTGTTCCGAATATGGTGGGGTTAACTCTTCTAGACATTTTATAGGTACCCTTATAGATCCTTTCTAGGTGCCATTATAGATCCTTTTTGGGGAACTGTTGTGACTCCCCGCGTTTTCCTCAAAGCCCCGGGCTCGGACCTGAGGTACTGCTAAGGTTAGTATGGCCTGGATGATTAGTAATAATGTATAGGGCCCAAATAATATCCAATATTCTAGTGGGTTCCTTATTGTATTTATAGTATGGTGGGCCGGAAAGGGCTCCTTATTAAATATGCTCATACCGCGAAAGAGCTTCCTTGGGGTTTTGATTTAATGACAGCAAAAGAGATCCCCCCAGGCCCCGTTCCACGAAGTCCGGCCCTGAACCCTAAACCCTTCTGGAACCGCTTCCCGGATCATGCGACACGGAAAAAGGAGACGTTCAAAGAAAACACAAACTTTCGGATGCTTGCAGGTTCAACTCAGACCTGGGCCGCAGTTGTGGAGAATGGAGTGCCGGACGACGGAGGCTCTCCTTGGACTTCATTCCTCAGGGCTCCTTATAACTATAGTTAAACATGCCTCCCCCAACATCCATTTAAACTGTTGAGGCCCCTAGTCTATGGTGCGTTTCTTGTCTCGTTCGTGGTCTCGGACATTTCATCGGCCCAGCACCCGTGTGCTCAGCATGGAATCCTTTCTCGGCTGAAAAGCGATGAAGTCCCGCTGCATCGCCAAAGCCTAATCCATGAATCCGTGCATGCTCCACGCGAGTGTGCGAGTCTGAAAGCCTTATGAACCGGGCCCACGGCAAAAAAGCACGGTGCAACTGGTTCCATCCTTTGAGGTTGTGCCAGGCAGTTCCACACCCTTGCGCAATCCTTTCGAAGCCCCTGGCAAATCTCCATAAACCCCCCGCGCCAAAGCCCAGCAAAACTCCGAGCGACCAGGGCGGCTTCTGCAGAGCCGCGAGCTCTCGATTTTGGAGCGCGCCCTAGAGGCTTCGGTTTCAGCTTTGGAAGAGAAGGGACAGAGCAGAAGTCCTGTGCGACTATTGATCAATGTATGAGAAATATAAGAATAATGGCTGTAGTAATTTGGGTCATAACATCCAAAACTGGTAAGAATACTGGTATTGTTTCAGGTTCTCAAATTCTCTGAAACTCTCATCTTGTGCCATTCGTTACGAAGCGATTCAGGCCGGAAGGAACTCATATAGCAACCAAGACAACTACCAACACTGTTTTGGGCCTTATCACAAGAAAGTAGAATATACCCCAAGACCCTCTTCGACATTCCCTGAATCCCAAACTCCGCCCCTACTGTCAGTCCTCAAGATAAACACCAGGACTCGATCCAGAACTTGGAAGCTTAAACCTAAGCCTGATAAATCTAACTGCAAGCCCCGGTCAAATCCGAAATCCTCAGCTTTGACCCCTCCTTACCGGAGGTGAACTTCCAAGTCGCGATGCCCGCTGAAAGCGCGGAGGTCACGACGGCCTCCTCGCAGGCGTTTGTGGCTTTAGGTGTTTAGGTTTTGATGCACGAGCCTGAATAATTCGAGTATACTACAATGGGCCACAAACAGCTTTTTTGGTTAAGTTGTCCGTGTGCATTGATTGCCCTGCCCCTCCCTCTCTCTCTCTCTCTCTCTCTCTCTCTGTCTGTCTGTGCCTCTCTCGCTCGATACGTGTGTAGACAGGTTTTGAACAGCCTGAACCGTAATCGCCGCAATCCCTTAGCCTATCTTAGCCCTCTGTCCTTCGTACAGGTCGAGGCCATGGTTGCGGCCATCTCCGACATGAAGGCTCGTCTTGCTGGTCTTTTGGCTTCTGTTTCCACCCTGCAGGCCGCGAAACCCTTCAAACCCTAAAGCATGAGGGTCGCACGGCCGAGTAAGGTGGCCAAACCTTGATGCCCCGAACCTCAAACGGCGCTTGGCTATGGCTCAAGTCCTTGCGGATTAAGGCCTCGGAACCCGGAGCCTCTAAGGACTTCGAAAGCATAGCGATGGCGCACTTCGATGTTTGGGTGGCATTTGGGCTTATCCTCGCCACTTTCCATTGGCGGACGACCTGGGCAGATGCCTTGTGCTTGGTTCAAGAAGGCCTGCACTACTTGCGGCCGGCGGGCACTTCCGCCGGCAGCTCGGTCAAGCGTGTCAACGAAGCCATGGATCGGATGAGAGAGGAGAGCTACGTTGTGACGGCACGGTTGGCACAGCATCTCAACGTGGCTTGTGTGATTTCGGTTCCTTTGGTGTATGACGGAGACATCGTAATCTTTGTGGGCATGATGTTTGTGAACGTCTCGCTTTACAGCATGCATTGGTTGCTTTCTACTGGACGACTTCATCTCTCATGCAGAGGTCTCCGTTGTCTCTTTGGCTTCTTCTACCTGCTTCTGCTGGGTTCCCACTGGGTTGGTCCACAGTCCGGTGTGGAGGCAGCCTTTCATCTGAAAGCTTTGGAGGCTTCTCAGATGATCTCAATCCTTGCGTTTGTGGACAGTCGTACCCATGTTTGTGGACAGCTCGTGTTGGCTTTCTCGGAGGTGTGCCGGCATGTCCTGAACCATGGTTGGGAGCCCATGGCACTAGTGATGACCATCCATGGACAGCTAGTCTTCTCGGGGCTACTCATCATTTCCGCCATCGTGCTTGAGTTTACTCTCCGGGGCCGAGTGGCCGCACAGTTTCAACACGCAGATGCCGAGTCTTTGGTTTCCAGCTTCCGCACACTCTTGCGTGGCATCAGTGATGCAGAGTTGCTGCTGGATGACAAGCTTCGGATTGAAGCGAGCACGGGTTTGAGTCGCCTTCTGCTCTCAGGGAATGTGTGGGAGGGTATCGCATTTCAGGAGCTGCTGTCGCAAGACAGTGAGGAGAAGCTGCGATTCCAAGGCTTTATCTCAAGAGAGCCGGAGGGCGAGAAGCAGACGGAGGCAACTCCGCCTTGCCTGCGCGTGTCTCTTCACACCGCTCTGCAGCAACGTGTTGGTGTCGACCTGTTCCATGTGCGAGTGCCGCACTTGTATGGCTCCGCGGATGCCTATCATCTGCTTGCCGTGAAGATGGATGCAGAGTCAATTGTGCTGCCAGAGGCCACGCCGGCGCCGGGGCAGATTCCTCCGGTGACCTTGAGGAGTGTGAATTCCGTCGGCCACGCTCCTCGCTCAGCCGCCAGCTCCCGGACATCTGCATCCGAAGGATCCTTGCTGCCGAGCTTGCCACACTTGAGTGAGCTCATGTTGGTAGTCGATGCGCACCGGCAACAGGAAGTAGTGCAAGTGCACATGCAGTACACGCAGCCCCGGCGGTCCCGACGAGAACAAGCAGCAGACACTTTTCCCACCTTGCGGCAGTTTGTGCGACCCGTGGAGTGGCACTCGGTGAGCTCCCAACTTCACGAGTTTGCCGAACGAGCGAGGTCGGGAAACTTGCAAGGGGGTAGCCTGGGTAAAGTCTGGATCAGGATGCTCGACAACCCCAGGAAGTACATGCAAGCGCGACATTCCGCTCTGAGCTTCCGAGACAGGGGAGATGATGGACAGGTATGGCTGCATCTGCAAGACTTCCGCAATTCGGAAGAGCGTTGCCCCCGGCCAAGTGAGCTAGGCGAGGTCAGCGAACATTCCGACGAAGAGCAGGAATGAGCTTGGTTCAGGAGCCACCGTCTGTAGGTGTTTAGGGATGGGAAGCCTACAGAACTCGGCAAACTCAGAGCATCGAGTGGCCAAGGAACCAAGACTAATTTGTAGGAATGCCTTACGGTCTTACGGCAGTGGTCCTTCCACGCCAAGTTTTTCGACCGTCCCGTGGGCACGTCAAGTATGGAAATATATAGAGGCGTAGAGGTTCGGGATTTACTTGGAGGTTTAGGCTTGCAAGGATTTGGGATTTAGGCAGAACTTGAGATTTGTTCTGGTCTTCGCAAATAGCCGGGCCCATGGTTTAGAAGATGACCGATCAGCACCTCCAAATGCCATGCCTTGGAGTGTTGTGAAGTTCGCATATGTGTCACAGAAGCTCAGAGCGGCGCGAAGACCGCATAAAGCCCAAAAGCAGCCTCTACAAGAGCCAAACACGAGCCTTGACAGTCGGAGCTGGGAGTGAGGTCGTAATGCGTAGTGTCCGTGAGTTCCGAGAGGCCAATCCAGGCGAGCTTCTCGACAAGCTCTCGGAGGTCCTGCCGCGGCCTTTCTTAAATTTACAGCTTCTTGGGTTGAGGGTTTAGGGAACAAAGTCCGAGCTTCACAAGGCGGTTTGGGGTAAGGGGCCGGAGGGTTCTTGTTCAGGCTCTTGGGGGGCGCCTGTCAAGGATCCGTGCGGGATCCATAGGGGTCTTTATCAAGGGTTTCCGGAGTTTAGGACGGAACAAGTGGAAAGGCTTTTGCACATGGTGCACCCAGGAAGTAACAGTTTGGGAGATAGGGGTTGCTTGAAGTCCTCGGTACACTTGAGTTAGGGTTTGGGGTTTAGGGTTTCCTGGACCGCTTTTCCACAGCTTTTCCGAACTTCGACTGGTGGGATCTGCCCCGGTGTCCTCAGGATCGACAACCTACGCCTCCGCCTGACCACGCCCTTCGTGAGGCCCAGCGTTTTCTTAGAACGTGTGGGGTTTAGGATTTGGTTTGGAAGTGCATAATATAGGGGCCTTAATTTTTTAGAACAGGGTTTTGGGGCCCATTATACTATAGAATTCCAATCAGGACCCCCACCCCCCCCCAAAAAAAAAAAAAAAAAATGTAGTACAGGGAATTATGAAGGCCCTTACATTGCATCTACAGTCGGCCAGCACCTTGAAGCCTCCACCTAAAGCACCGTCCGGGGCCCGGGGGTCCCTCGCCCTGTGCCAGGCAGAAGCAGGCGGTGTTCGTTGCGGAGGCGCGCTCGTCTTCAATAAGGGTTTGGGTTTAGGGTTTGGGGTTTGGGGTTTAGGGTTTAGGGTTTGGCGTTTGGGATTAGGGTTTGGGGTTTAGGGTTTAGGCTCCTCTTCAATATTCGTCCAACTTGGGGTCGAGTGGGGTAACCGAGGCACATCATCTCAGGCGCTGAGACCGAGCCCTGAAATCCTAAAGTCCTACGCTAAATTGTACACCCCCACTTGCTCCCCTTCTTTGAACGAGAAACGCCAACTACCTCGCAGGATTGGGGGGCCTGTGCCAGGGGCCTCGCCTGCGTTGCAACGCGCTTTCCGCTGCGCTACCGCCAGGCCACGCTGCTCCATTTTGTGTTGATACCGCCGTTTTGTCCAGAGTAATGTAATTCGCAGTCCGAAGAAGCTCATATAATCGCCTTACAGAAGTCCCTGTAGAATGCTAGACCTTGTTTTCCCAAAACCCTACCGTGACATGAAGGCTCCCATCATCAGCTTTAGGAAGCTTTAGGCAGATGAGGGATGAAATCTGAAGGGGCAGGAAGTCTCTGGGCTCTCTGCAGAGATTCATAGAGTTGAGGGCTTAAGCAGGCAGGAGCCCTAATCCTTACGCTCCCTTTTGAGCTCCTTTGTCGGAAGCATGCGGGTGTAGGAGGATCTTAAGGTGCTGGTGCTCCGGCATTTGAGCATTTCCAAGCCCTGGATTGTCGTTCCCCATACCAGGTTTGGTGCGCAGACTCTGCTTCTTGGAGCACAAAGCTAGTAGGGCCATTAGGGTTTTGGAAGTCTTTGCTTTTCTCCTTCTTGGGGTTCAGGTCCTTCAGGGACTTGGGCCACCGGACTGACTGTGGGAGCACTGCCTGCAAGGCTCTTGAGCAAGAAGGAACTACGTGCCGATGGATTGAAGAATAGCTCGGCATATTAGTCCCTAGGATGTTTCACTTTAGCTGCAGTATATCAATTCTGTTATTCACACATATGTATATATATATATATATATACATCTTCAATCAAAAGTTAATCATATCAATAGTCATAATCACACACACACACACACACATATATATATATATATATATATATGTATATATTCTAATTTTCAGGCCCGTAGAGTATAGACATCGCCCGAAGCTGGTTACCTTCTTGGTCTTGTTGCACTCCGCGTCATCTGTCAACATTCTTTCCGCAAGTTGTGATTGCGTAAGGAGCCTTGTCCAGTGTCTGAACTGGTACTCGGCATTCAGAGGCGAGAAATGATCATGCAGGGGCCTCTATACCTGGTATCATATCGAGTGCAATGCCTTGTAGGTCTATGGTTCCCTGCTCTGCAGAGCCCGGTATGAAGAATTTCGGAAGATACAGAACCGTAGTGTATATAGCTTCCAGATGACAGGGTTCTCGGTAAAGCATCCCCAGAAAGAGACACCTTAACATAAATAAAGCCCCCAACATGCCAGAAGATCCTCCATACCGGGATCGCATGTCTTCAAACCCTAGACCCTAAACCTTGCTGATAGAGTCTTTGGCACCAAGCCACTGTCACTTTGGTTTGCTCGGGCCCACCGGCGGAGTCAGCAATTGAGAGCTTAAATCAAGCCTAAATACTTAAGATAGGGGCCCTAATAATTACCTATACTATTTTGGGGGCTCTACCCCAACACCCTATTCTATTTACTAAGGCCCCTATATTAACCTGAATCATGGGGTTCTTTGGGGCATCGGCTTGAGGACAATGTCTCCATCGCCCTGCTTCCAGAGCTTTGCTCCGGACTCATGCCCAGGACGGACGAAGCCCTGAGCTAAACCCTAAACCCTGAACCC